CACATCTTTTTTTTCCCTCTCTCTCTCTCTCTCTAGAGAGAGAGGGAACAGACTACTACTTCATGAAACACTACCAGACAAGTTAGATGTGATATACAATATAGATTATAATATCAATATATTAAGAGGAACGTTAACTAGCAGTGTTTTTTTTTCCTTATAATAGTATTGTCACTGCAAGCAGTGTGTTTAAGAAAAAAACAAAACCAACAACAACAACAAAAAAAAAACCACCACCACCACAAAAAACACCCACCCACTATCAAGGGATAACTATCAAGTCAGAGATACTTCCACAAGGGACAAGCAGTTACATACCTAACTGAACATTTTTCTTACTGAACACAATGCAAAGCAAAGAGGAACCACATCTACTGAACACCTTGGGATAAACAGAAAACACTATCTTTGCTCACTGCCAAAACGCAATGATTCTAAACAGCCTCATCTAACATAAAACTACCTCACCAACTAACATAAAACTCTTCTAAGGTTACCTGCACATATGAAAGCTACTGCCCTAAAAGTGCACACAGCTGCGATTCATTAAAAATCTCAAAAGAAAATCTGACTTGCAGTTACTAGCTCTGCTTTCAAGTGATAAGATCCAAGCGTGATTCAGAAAGAAAACATCTCTGAAAAAAAGTGTACAAGCACGCTTTGTTTTTACTGAAACGTGCAAGTCTTCTGTACCAAACTTATTCATTTGATACTAGCCAAAAAACAAACCAATTCCAACTGCATAGGGAAAAATGAATTAAGATTTATAAGAGGGAGATACATCAGAAAATCTGAAGCAAAAACAGATATCAGTATTTACCATATCTAATAGATCTTGATATGGTAAAGTGCTGAGAGGCAGAAAATTGCAGATTATATTCATGCTTGAGTATAACTGAACCATTTCTTACCTGGATCTGGCGGATTTGGTGGCTGCCAGTGTGGATAAGCATTTCCCCATCCTTGTGGAGCATATGGGGCTGGAGGACCACTATTAAACAAAAAGATAAAAACAAAAATAAAACCAATGCACAGTGAACACCCATCACAGGATTATCCTAAAACAGACAAGCAAACAACAACAAAAGAAGCAATACTTACTGAGGTGCAGGACCAGGAGGCCCTGGATTGTAAGGAGCAGGGTTATATGGTCCCATAGGAGCACCAGGGCCTGGGGGTCCAGGAGGCCCATGCGGCCCAGGAACAACTCCATGGGGTCCGTGAGGAACTGGTGGACCCAGGGGATTAACTGGACCCTGCAACAATCCAGGATAATTTCAGTGTTGTCAAATACTTTCATCATCCATAACAAAATGGCTATTTTCCAGAATGCAGCATTAAGAAATAAATCAAATAACTTTTTAAAAAAATAGCATGCATTTTTTCTTACTGTAAGTTTTTTGCTTCTTTTATAATATCAATTAAAAATGCACATTAATGCACACCAATTTATTACCTGATGAAATAATTCAGAAGTAAAGTGTCCTCACTTCTGTTCTGATTATAGTAAGAGTATAGAGTTGTATACTCACTCCAATCTTTTCCTCTATAAGTTGTCGTGCGTAATCTATTTGCTGGGGTGTTCCACGGATAGTAAACATCTTCATGTTTGGATCTGCATTAGGTGGAGGATTTCTCTGAAGTTCTATTCTAGCACCAGATTGCTGGCTTATACTTTTGATAGTTTCACCACCTACAATAAAATATACAGCTTTTATCACTTAGTAAAACAAAACTACTAAGACTGAAATCAGATAAAATGAACCACATGGAAACTGGAAGATACATAAGTGTCCTATTTTTATGAGTCATAAAAGAACATCCTAATAATAACAACTTTCCCATTAGTGTCGCTAGAAGCTTGTTTACAATAAACCATTAAAATATTTTAAAGATTATTTTCTTATTCAGAAAGACACACAAAGAATTCCTTCCAATGCTGTCTGATTTTTTTCCATTCATGGAAAAATGTGAAATTAGACATGAAGAGCAACCAGTACCTGCAGCTCTCAAAAATACCACCTTAAGGACTAAACTCCCTAGAAAAGAGCAATTAAGCACAGATGACCAAAATACTTGAAACTGATCAGCCTAAGGTTCTTTTTTTGCAATGCATTTCAACTCAAAAGATCAACTTCCTAAACTAGCTTCTCTTCTCACAGGTTTCTGAGAAGTTACATGTATCATTAGTAGACATAAAGTTCATAAACAGAGGTCATCGGCTCTTTTAAAAATCCACCTTCCAGGCCAAGAACTGAACTATGACAGTCTATTTGCTGTGCCTGGAAAACACATTACAAACAGAATATTAAGATAACTCAAACATTTCATTAGGAGCATCTAATGATGAAATTCTTTGATAAGTTAACTATTTTGATCACACAAGGAAAAGGAATAGCATTTCACTGTAAGAGATCTTCACTGGAATATGTAAAAAATAGTTAAGAGATAAAAACAGAATCAATAACACTAATATAATTAAATAATACCAAATGCAAGTTATTTATAATACATGACATTTAAGAAACTACCAAACACTACAAGGTAACTTAGTATTTATTACTTTTAAGTACATGAGTTATATAAATTGAGTGGTTCTTGATTTTTAACTACAAAGGTGTAAGCTTTGGGGAGGAAAATATTTCCTAACAGAAAGACTACTAGAAGTGTTATGATTTAACTGGATTATGTTCCTCTGCCTTATATGAAACTCTTCACAAAGGCTTCTCTTAGGCAAACAGACAGGCTAGAGAGATATTTCAAGCGGAGAAGCTTAAACCTTTTCAAATACGAGCATATACACACACACACACATATATAAGATATATTGCCTTTGCCAATGATTAATCCAGTTTTGCCAGTAGGAACAATAAAATTGAATTCCTGCAATCCACCAGGAGGCCCCATGTTCCAGTTGCCTTGACCTCTACCCCTTCCACGACCACCAGGTCCTGGTCCACCAGGGTTACCAGCCTGAAAACAAAAAAAAACCCAAAAGTTAGATATTATATGCTTACTTATGCACCTTAAATATTTTTATATACATATATATATACATATATATATATGTATATACACACACACATAATTTTAGCTATATACTTTCAGTTATACACTTATTTGATAAAGTTTTAAGTCTTTCTAAAAGTAGGCATTACCTACCTGAACACTTCGAAGGAGATCTGTAATAATTTCTGCAGCATGTTGACATCTATCTGGAGGCCCCGTAATCTGGGCTATTCTATCTGGAGTTGTTCCATCATCTGAAATAAAAACAATCTTATTCCAGTACATGTCAACCAGTAAAATTTTTACCAATATACAGAAGCATATGGGCATATTACCAACCTGGTTTAAATTGGATCCTAACACCAGCGTCATTCTGTATCTTTTTTATCATCTCTCCATTTCTTCCAATTACAATACCTACAGCAAAGCGTGGTATTGGAACCTTGAAGAGAACAAATTGTTTCAAAATGTCAACAATGCCAGCACTCCTACCAAATTCACAAAAATCAAAGGTCACATAGTAGAATTTAGGCTTTTTTGAAGTGTGAACTTTTTAAGATCTGCAGTAAAAAAAAAAAAAAAGAAAAAAAAATCACAACCTTATAAATACTAGTGGAAAACATCAAAAGAAAGGAGGGTGCTACAAAGGGCAAGTTTTCATCATGGCAACAATTCCAGTGGGTACCATGTTTCTCATGGTCAACAAACAACTTCTGGAAGGCCTAAAACAGACAGTATAGCAGATCAAAGTTCCAGCCTCACCTCGATTGAATGGTTGTGATCTCATGACTTTCCTAAGAGGTGGAACAAAAGATCTTGCTGCAGTGGCCAAGATCCACGCTCTATAAGGTCATCCATCATTATGTAATCAAAAAAACTTACTTGCTTCCTTATAAAAAGAAGCTCCCAGCTAGCCAAAGTTGTTCAAAACGGCTGGTAACGTAAAATGAATGACACACACCATTTAAAAGCGCAATTCAACATCGATTAAAGTAATACTTGCAACACAACCATTTCTGAAATCTGGTTAACAACTTTCAATGGTATTGACCAGCTTAACACTTTAACATTTACATATCAAAAGACAGTGAACAAGTTTTTCAACCATGCTTACGTCTATCCCTTCATTTCCTCCTATTCTTGACCCATATTCGTTGCGCACCTCTCTAAAGCCACCTTGATCACGAATTAGCTCCAGCACCATTTCCTTGGCTTGCTAAAAGAAAAATGAAATTTCATTTAAGTATCAAAGTACTTAAGTAAAAAAAAAAGAAAAGTCTGCATGGTGGAAAGACGCCTTACTTGAACTTTATAAGGATCTCCAGTTATCCTAAGGGGCTTGTCTGCACCAGTATTCTGTGGACCATCTTGAATCATGACCATTTTGACACCTGCTCGCTCCTGTTTAACAAAGTGGAGGTCAATACCCACTCAAGTCCAGATCTAGTATTATCATGTGTTTCAAAAATATAGCTATACCTGTAATTGCTTAATTGTCTCTCCACCTTTCCCAATAACTAATCCTGCTTTACTTGCTGGAATCATTATTTCTTGGACTGCATTCCCAGGTCCATCACCATGATGAAAGCCAGGTGCAGGTCGTCCCTTTTCAACTATCTGATCAAGTAATCTTTTTGCTGATCTGTCAAGAAATATATACAGTCATGAATACAGTGATTCGTAAAAATCCTGCTTACCTACGCTTGTTCTGCTTGGGGAAAAAAACAAACAAAATAAATCCACTTTTTTCATTATCTTAATAGTTTTATTCACTTAACAGTTAATTGAGAAATGTATGAGGTGCTGTATCATACGCTTCAGTGCACTCTGTCCAGTTTCCCTAAATATCTTTAAAGAAAGAATAATCTTGGATACGATTATGTGAAACTCTCTACAGAAGTCGTTTTACCTCTTTATACCAGGTCTCTTTCCAATGTGTATTATTCCAGTGTCTAAATAGTTAACAAATTCAACAGCTTGTTTTACAATTGGGATATTACCTCTTCCCTCGCCATCTGTTTTTGCCTTACCTTTAAAATCACTATCTTCTAAATAAGGAATCTAATATTTTCATTATTAGGGAACAAAGAAGAAAGAGAAACAATATGTTGAAAGGTGAAAGCATCACAACATTTTTATTCTCTGCAATGAAATCATGTGAAAACCTCACATTCGTCAACTATAACCTCTCCCAGGCATTGTCATCAATCTCACTCATTTGCTTTACTTCCTGATATCCCCTACAACGTAAATGGCCTGATGCCGATTTATTTGTTCTAAATAAGGAAGGATTAAGTTACTTCCCATCATCATATTCTAATGTATCAAACAGTATCTCCCTCTATGCTGAAGCAGGTTGAAAAGAAGTACCTAAAAATTAATGTACAGCATATATTGCTCTGCAAGAAAAATAAATATTTCAAATAGAAACTGATTTTTAACTGTTTGCTGCTAAAGTGAAACACACCACCTTGGTCAGATAAAATATCAAGGTCCACAAAACAAAGACCTTTGTCACATGTAAGCATCCACATAAGAACATAAAAAGACAGGCCTCTGAAAATTCAAATCCGTTCAAAAATGTAGGCAGATTAAATATTATTCTTCTCTCTCAGACTCAATCAGTCTGAACCAGTAACTTCTTTAAAAAGATCAAAATCTAACTGTAGAGTATTTCCAAGAGAATGTAGCAAATGGTAGACCTAAAATGAGTATAGTTCTTTATGAAATGTTATTTTATAGATGAGCAAAAATAGTGTAAGACAAACTTAGCTTTAACACCAAGTATGGAGACAGCTGCTGCTTGATTCACCATGTACTTATAAGCATTACCAGAATAACGGCCAATAACAGGTATGTATTTATCTCTTACATAGATCAGTCACAATTTGAGCAAAATCACAAGCAAAATCATTTGTTAAAAACTCTTCCATCCAACATGTGGTCAGAATAAGCTATTATTAGAAAGAATATTCCTACAAAGAAATAACTTCTTGAACAGGAGCTCACTTAGCTGTAATATAAGTGGTGACTGGCACCTGTCCTCCCGAAGGGAGATTTGTAGCTACAGGCCATATCTAAAAAAAAAAAAATGAAGTGGGAGCAGCTAACAGAGAAGGAACTAGCAAGCCTACTACACTCACTACAAAAAACAAAGGCATAGCAGCAAAACAACCATAACGCATTTTAATCTCAGACTAAAATCAGTGCACCAAACAATCTATAACAGGATGCAATCTTGGAAAAAAGTTTAAATCTGGTAATTAAATCCATATTTTTGTCTTGCAATTACATGTATCATGAGGGATTTGACAGCAGCTTCGGGTCCCAGTTTGGTATGTATGAATTTAGTTGTCACTAGATTGCCTCTAAACAGAAGTAAAATAGGGGAAATGCTATATTTACATTCTTCTTCCCCCCCTCCCCACCAATCAGAAAAAGAAAAGAGGAGTATTACACAGTTAAGGAAGAATACACAGAGTTTGTTTTACTTACTGAACAGACTCTGGTGTTCCAGTTAGCATACAAGATCTTTCAGGCAGGCCTCCACTATCTAAGAAGGTTGTAAAATAAAACTGATTTAACAGTAGTATTAAGGCAGAAAGAGATTATGAAACCAAATATGATACACGAATTATTGGAAAATAGGAAAAGAATCATTGTATCACAACACTTCTTTGGACAGTAATAATTGCAATTAGCACAAAACATTCAAATATACCTTAAACGAAGATACAAATAATAAGAGACAAGGATCAACCTTCTGAATCTGCTACCAACAAGTATACCAGAAATAGTTACCAGGCGCGATCTGTATTTTACATCCAGACTCTTGTTGTATGCGTGAGATCTGTTCTCCACCTCTGCCAATTACTTGAAGAAAGAAAACAGAGAAGATATTTTTTGTATTAATAGCACTTGCTAACATCCCTCACCATACTGCAGCACTAGATTCATACTACTTACTAAATCCAACCATTCCATCTGGAACTTTGTACTCCTCTGTCATCACAGACCTGCACAGGTTAAATGCAAAAGGAAACAATAACCATTCAAAGACAAAACTAGCTTTGTATTTAGATATATCTTCCAGTTAACACAGAAAAAAGTTAACTGCCTCCCCCAAGGCAGCGCAATTGACTCTCACTAATTTTAGGAGCCTTATGCAAACAAGGCTTTCACTGAAACTAGGCTATTTTTCAAGGTAAGACACAAGCTAAAAAAGTGAAAAAATACTATTAGTAATAGAAATTGGGATATGGCCATTTAAGAGTTTAAATCATGGTATGAATAGATAAATATTTTCCTTCATGCTTTTTATTACTGTGAGGGCTGAGAAGGCCAGTGTAGTATTAAAATATTTCAGCTGTGGCTCACTGAAGTATACCAAAAGTATAAACAGATATCAGTATTTCATTTATCAAAATTAGGCCAAGGATTGGAAGATTTTCTGCATTTGGCTCTTCATGGAAGAAACAAGTGGAGGAAAAAGTTGCATAGATGTAGCTGACAGAACAGTAAGCTGTGCTTAATTTGCCCCCCGCCTTTAAAAAAAAAAAAAATCTGCTACATTTCTTTCTTATTTTCACTTCAGACCTGCTCTCAGCTTTTGTTTATGGTAGCTATGCTCAAATACTGAAAGAGCAACACATTTTTCTGTATGGTACAGGCTGCTAAAGAAGGCAAGAGAGCATGATATGAACATTTCTTTCACATGTTCGACTTGTGGCTGCTGAGGCTAAATAGCAACATACTGCTATACGTCTATAAATATAAAACATCCCTCTAATGCAGCAACATTGGTTTGCCATCAGAATACGTTGAATTGTTTTTCTTACTAAAAAGGAATGTGGTATATGAAGTGTAGTACAGATGCAGACTCTTACCTTTGTTGTTGATGCATTGGTGGTAGCTGATTTCCGAAAGCTACAAGCAAATATTTTTAAGATTAAACTCAAACAGAATTATTCATAATCAAGTCTTTTTTGGGTTAATAATAAATCGTATCTACTTTGGTAGAAGTTGCTTTTTTAAGAAGTGTTATCACATGGTATAAAAACACAATTAAAAAGATTCTCGACTATGGCTAACATAAAATTCTATCAGTTTTAGAAAGCAGACCCAAACTACTTCAAGAAACTAAGAGATAAACGAGTCATTCTTTTGATTTCACCGATCCAATACCACCTACCAGGTTACTATTTCAAATTCTTGTTCTGAAAGTTTTATGCTTGTTTAGGCTTACTAGCAAAAAAAAAAAAAAAAATTACTTACAGTCATTCTGAGGAGCAACTTTCTTAGCATCTGGTTGATCTGCAAAATTAAGATTTTTTTAAACATTTGCCAAGAAATTCAAGAAGTGTTAACACCTTTTAGTGTGTAAACTGTAACTTTCCAGTGCATTTTAGTCCCCCTTTTTTTATTTTTTTTTCCTCAATTTCAGGAAGCTGATCATCTGAATAAAAGAAAGAATCTCACGAACACTCAGCATTTGGTTAGTATCGTTGAAAAGATGTTAGGTTCTTCCACATATCTATTAAGCAGTTTAATAAAAGGCAGTTTTCAGAACACGCTGTAGATTGCTCATAGGTGTCCAGTCACTGAAACTTAACTATGACAATGAATAAAGTTCATCTCTGTTGGCTGCTCAAGCTAATGATGCTTCTATAGTAAAAAAAATAATAATAAAAAATCAAATCCATATGAAACTTAACAATGATTTAAAGAAAAAAGCTTTCTGACAACGACCAGAAATCTAGATCAAACATCTAAAAAATACAACAATATCACATAGCAATGTAATCTCACTCTGAACATTGATATGAGATCCCTATCCAAATATCAAGCATTTCATAGCATAAAACTTCAAAAAAAAAGCAGATTCAAAGCAACTACATCACTACCATCCAAATCCTTTTGTACAAATAAAAGGCACAATTAACCTATATCTGAGAAGATACACTTCAGATGCTTTCTTCCCACCCCAAAATAAAGGTTATATGAATCACCATAATTTATGTGCAGCAAAAAGTCAGACACATATTCCAAGATATATTTGTGTCAATCCAGAAAGATCCACTAGTTTATTTCATGTTTACATACTAAACACAGGTAATAAATAAAAATTCCTGCCTTTAAAAGGAGAGGGCATTCCCTCCCAGTGTGTTGTACTGCTCGGACTTGTCCAAGAGCCATCTACACATAAAATAAAAAGAATACATTACATATATCATCTGAAGCATCATTAGCTCATTTTTTTGTATATTAAAAACCTCACCGTTAATAGAAAAAACTTCATTATGGGACACAACAACTCCTGATATAAAGCCTTAGTTACAATCTGTAGACTGAGTTTCAATCCTCTTAAAGGAAGAAAAAAAAAAAAACATTCCTCTTACGTCACACCTACGAGAACATTTAAACAAGCTCAGATTTCTCTCCACAATTTAGTCAAGACTTTGAGTCTATATTAAACATATCAAACCCTGTTAAGTTCAAACTAACTAACAGAAAGAGACACACACATTTCAAGAGGAAACTTTACTGCATTACAAAGCAAATCCAAAAAGCTGCAACAAGTTGGGATATTTAAGTATGATCTTGTTCACACACGCTCTATGCTTAAATATTAGTGAGCAAAAACACCTACAAGATAGAAAATCTACTTTCCTGTCTTTTTTTAAAGTCCTATGCTTTTACAATGAAATGCATTAACATGTTTATTTGCATCTGTGCAGTAACAAAGCATATGAAACAAACCAATTTTGAGAAGTGACCACTTCCTGCTTTAATTGTAACCTACGAGCTGTAATCAGCCCTATACAACAAAGGGCTGTAATGACATAACCTGCATAAAAGGCATTGCCCAATTATGAATTTATCCACCCATGCCCCTGGCACATCTTTTCCTCCTTACTGCATTAAAATTGGTTTAAAACATTTTAAAATGGGCTTAGATTCACTTCAGATTACAGTTACACAGCAAAACGGCTTAAAAGAATTTTCCTCTTTTAACAGAAAATGAAAGAGCATGTTGCCATCTACAAAGGGAACAAAATGCTTTTATCCTGTGCTTTGAAAAAATAAAACAAAAACAACAACAAAAAAAAAACACCTGCAATCTTTCTGGCACTGTAGCCAAGACATAACAACAACAACAAAAAAGACAAAAAAAAAAAAAGCACACAGAAAACAAGCAACAGTAACGAAGGCATACCTCCGTCCTCAAGAGGTCTTTTCTGTCCTCCATAACCGTAGTCATTTGAATTCATTGATGTGCCAGCATCTCCTCCAATTTTTGCTGCAATCTAAACATAAGCAGAAGCTGTGAGAACAAATTCATTCAGGCAGTCCTTATTTACTTCAGATCTTTTGGACAATATCAGTGTTTGAGACAACGTGCATATTAACGCACATTACTACCGCTCAAAAGAGGTAAATAAATTTTTAAAAGAAAGGTAAATAAAAGGTTGCTGCTAGAAACAGTCCCATGAACAGCCATGATACCTTCTTCTCCTCAACGTATTCAGGAAACATTTGTGCTCATCCTTTAATAAGGATTTCTTCCTATACTCACTTCCCCCCCCACCCAAGAAAAAAAAAAAAAAAAAACTCCTCTTCGAACCGCAGCAACTTTCCTTTTCTCTACAACAGGCTTCTCCTACTTTACCTGTACTCTGAGAAAGCCTGCACTATAAAGCAGACAACTTGACTGCTAAAATTATTTTAAAACCGAAAAGTTCCGACTATACTTTTTTTTGAATTATTATTCCCGAAAGAGTCGCCGCTTATCAGAAAGACAAGATAATTCAGCCCGACAAAGAGCCTGCCCGTCGCCTGCAAAACTACAAGTAAAACTTACAGAAAAAAAAAAGAAAAAAAAAGGAATAATAAAGGAAAAGCCACAGCGGTCGCCTTGGCGTCTTAGGCCCCAGCCATTCCCAGCCGGCCCGAGCAGGGCAGCGCGCACCGAGGCGCCCC